TTACCTTGTAGAGAATAGGTAAAGAAACAGAAGAAAACAAACCCTATTCTCCGATACCTACTTTGTGCAAACGTCGGCACATGACAAATTCCCCGTCTCACATTTTATGAGTAGAGATGGTCACGTCTCAAGAATGCAACATCCGCCAATAATTTCTGTTTTCTTAATGACTTACCTGGTAAAGAATAGGTAAATTAACAGAAGAAAACAAACCCTATTCTCCAATACTTATCATACTGTGTCAACGTCCGTGTGAGAAGAGATGGTCATTTGTGAGTCTGCTGCGTGTTCATCTACATTACATTACATGTCATTTAACTGACGCTTTTATCCAGAGCGACTTACAAACACTTCAATACCGTAGACATGCCTACGGGAGCGATTTGTGCTAAAGTGTCTTGCTCAAGGCAACCCTGCATAGGACTTTCTGTTTTCTTAATGACTTACCTGGTAGAGAATAGGTAAAGAAACAGAATAAAACAAACCCTATTCTCCAATACTTATCATACTTTGTTAACGTCCGTGTGAGAAGAGATGGTCATTTGTGAGTCTCCTGTGTCTTCTTACCCATTACATTACATGTCATTTAACTGACGCTTTATCCAAAGCGACTTACAAACACTTCAATACCGTAGACATGCCTACGGGAGCGATTTGTGGTAAAGTGTCTTGCTCAAGGACACATCGGCATGTGACCCAGAGTCACATCCGCATAAGACTTTCTGCTTTCTTAATTACCCTGACGAGAATAGGTAAAGAAACAGAATCAAACAAACCCTATTCTCCAGCCCCCCCGAATATGCAAACAGCAGTACACTTGATGTGTCTACTGAAACTAACCGTCCTTTTTCCGCTACAAAAAAAGGTTGTTGTTCTTCCAGTTGAACATTTGGAACATATTACATTACAAACACTTCAATACCGTAGACATGCCTACGGGAGTGATTTGTGCTAAAGTGTCTTGCTCAAGGACACATCGGCATGTGACCCAAAGTCACATCCGCATAGGACTTTCTGTTTTCTTAATGACTTACCTGGTAGAGAATAGGTAAAGAAACAGAAGAAAACAAACCCTATTCTCCAATACTTATCATACTGTGTTAACGTCCGTCTGAGAAGAGATGGTCATTTGTGAGTCTTCTCTGTCTTCTTCCAGATTACATTACTTGTCATTTAACTGACGCTTTATCCAAAGCGACTTACAAACACTTCAATACCGTAGACATGCCTACGGGAGCGATTTGTGGTAAAGTGTCTTGCTCAAGGACACATCGGCATGTGACCCAGAGTCACATCCGCATAAGACTTTCTGCTTTCTTAATTACCCTGACGAGAATAGGTAAAGAAACAGAATCAAACAAACCCTATTCTCCAGCCCCCCCGATAAGCAAACACCAGTACACTTGATGTGTCTACTGAAACTAACCTTCCTTTTTCCGCAATAAAAAAAGTTTGTTGTTCCTCCAGTTGAACATTTGGAACATATTACATTACAAACACTTCAATACCGTAGACATGCCTACGGGAGCGATTTGTGCTAAAGTGTCTTGCTCAAGGACACATCGGCATGTGACCCAGAATCACATCCGCATTGGACTTTCTGTTTTCTTAATGACTTACCTTGTAGAGAATAGGTAAAGAAACAGAAGAAAACAAACCCTATTCTCCGATACCTACTTTGTGCAAACGTCGGCACATGACAAATTCCCCGTCTCACATTTTATGAGTAGAGATGGTCACGTCTCAAGAATGCAACATCCGCCAATAATTTCTGTTTTCTTAATGACTTACCTGGTAAAGAATAGGTAAATTAACAGAAGAAAACAAACCCTATTCTCCAATACTTATCATACTGTGTCAACGTCCGTGTGAGAAGAGATGGTCATTTGTGAGTCTGCTGCGTGTTCATCCACATTACATTACATGTCATTTAACTGACGCTTTTATCCAGAGCGACTTACAAACACTTCAATACCGTAGACATGCCTACGGGAGCGATTTGTGCTAAAGTGTCTTGCTCAAGGACACATCGGCATGTGACACAGAGTCACATCCGCATAGGACTTTCTGTTTTCTTAATGACTTACCTTGTAGAGAATAGGTAAAGAAACAGAAGAAAACAAACCCTATTTTCCGATACTTACTTTGTGCAAACGTCGGCACATGACACATTCCCTGTCTCACATTTTATGAGTAGAGAATGGTCACGTCTCAAGAATGCAACATCCGCCAATAATTTCTGTTTTCTTAATGACTTACCTGGTAAAGAATAGGTAAATTAACAGAAGAAAACAAACCCTATTCTCCAATACTTATCATACTGTGTTAACGTCCGTGTGAGAAGAGATGGTCATTTGTGAGTCTGCTGCGTGTTCATCTACATTACATTACATGTCATTTAACTGACGCTTTTATCCAGAGCGACTTACAAACACTTCAATACCGTAGACATGCCTACGGGAGCGATTTGTGCTAAAGTGTCTTGCTCAAGGACACATCGGCATGTGACACAGAGTCACATCCGCATAGGACTTTCTGTTTTCTTAATGACTTACCTGGTAGAGAATAGGTAAAGAAACAGAAGAAAACAAACCCTATTCTCCGATACTTACTTTGTGCAAACGTCGGCACATGACACATTCCCTGTCTCACATTTTATGAGTAGAGAATGGTCACGTCTCAAGAATGCAACATCCGCCAATAATTTATGTTTTCTTATTGACCTACCTGGTAAAGAATAGGTAAATAAACAGTAGAAAACCAACACTATTTTCCCACCCCCTCAATGTGCAAAGAAAAAGAAAAAAATACCTCCCATTTCTAATTTGCCTAACAGCTGTTGTGAATGAATACAGTATAGAAAGAAAAAACAAGAATAAAACAAACCTTGTTTTCTAGCTAGAAAATGAAATGGAATTCTTCCTTGACTTATGCTACAACCTTTCACCAAGTTACATACAAAACCTGATATATGCAAGAGTAGTACAAAAACCGAAATCTAAGGCTTTGCTCCAGAATCCAAAGTTGTCTTTCGTAATCCTGCGTAAACAACAAAACAACCTACAGAGACAAAAACATAACCTCTTTGGCAGAGGGAATAAAGTGCACACTTTCAAAAGGTAGTTCTCTAATATAGGCTTAGAAAATTAAATGTAGGTAGACACCTCAAGTATTTCAGCTTCAAAACACTCACACTTAAGGTGTATATATGCACATTTGCAGGCTTAATGTTCACAATCTATCGTCTTCTAATAACTGAAGATGCCTATTTCAAAGTGTTAACAAAAGGAAGAAAATCATCAACCTCCCCATTTAATTTAAATATCCCTCCCAAATGTAGCACTATTTTGCAAATAGTCCACCGCGGTGTCATACCAAACCTGTTAGCTTCCCTTCATAATTAAAAATCCCCATCTTACTTAAAAAAAACTCTCACAATGATCACACTCCTTCACTCCTTGGCCTCCCCTGTCCAAATGAAGGGGAGACTGATCCGCCTGGAACTTATAGTCTGTCCCAACATTCCAGCATTCCAGAATGCCAACACTCCAAAGCACATTCTAAATGACCTAACAGTCTAAATGACCATATATGGGCAACATCCTAAATGACTATGTATGGACATCCTTTTCTGGCTTCCTTCACATCTTCATCCTATAATTGACCGCAATAAGAAACATTACAGTTTTTTCTCACTCTCAACCCTTTTCCACCAAACCGGTTCCGATTCAAGATCCGGTCTTGTGCTTTTCTGGAGCTTAACTGGTTCTTCTCTGTAGCACCACTTGTGTTTCCACCGCAAAGAGCCCGACTGGTGCTGCCGCTGCTGCGTCATGACGTCACCGTTTACGTCGGTTTACGCATGCGGCTCTGGAGCCGCGGGTTGCAGACCCCTGAGTTAGAGGGAGGATAAGAGGGAAAGGAGGATGACATGAAGTCAGTTGAAGAGTTATTTGCAGCAAAATGGTTGGAGCTGTATGACAGTCAGGCCTACAGGTACATGCTTCTTCTGCAGGTTGATGAGGGGCATGTAATGTGGTCAGACCCAGTGAGGTAGTAAAATGCTGCCTAAATATTTTTCTCTCCTGTTTTTTTCTAAAAATATAATTCTTTATTTATTTTTCCTCAAAGTTTTCCTTACACTTTACTGTATTTGACAAAGGCATCGTTTGTGTTTACACAACTGTAACTATGTGTTGTGCAGGATAGTTTTACCAATTTGTTTTGGAGAAAAACAAAAGTAGGCTATAACAACTATATTTGTGTTTCTGCCCATATTTTTATCGACTTGAACAATCTTTTTATGCAGAATTCTCTACATACAGAGCACCATAAAAGAGGAGTGTGCTTTAGATAATGCACCACAGTGTGTAGTTGGTTGGACAAAGTGTATTGTATACTATAAGTGAAGTGTGTGCCATTTGCTGCAAACGTTTGGTTTTGGTAAGTCTTTATGTATAGTTTTGGGTGCAGTGCTTCATTTTGCAAGCGATATATATGATGTGTTTTGCACTTTGAGTGTGTGGTTTTGTGAATTGTGTTAAGTGTTTTGACAAAATGAGCCCTGTTGTCAAAAAACGTGTTTTAGCAATTTTAAAAAACTGTAATACGAAAATTATTTAAATAATAAAATTAAATGAAATGGGAAAACATTATACTTTAAACAAAGTTAGATAATAATAGTAAAATACATAATACAATCATAAAAACTTTAAGGAAATGTAATATGATAAATATATCATATAATAAAACTAAATGGCCCAAAAATATTAAAATAAAATAATAAACTGAGAAAACTCAGGTAAAGTACTGTACTTGAGTGAATGTACGTTGTTATTACCCACCACTAGATATCACCGATACAAAACCTTGCATATTCTTGGTACAGTTAAAGCAGAAAGCACAGATTTATCCTGATGTATTTATTTTTGCTTTCCATGTCACGTGATAAGCTTTCGTCATGACGTAATACGGAAGAGATTCAACCAAGATGGCAGCGTCCTTGACAGGCATGTTTTGATTATAGCCGGGTGTCAAACATGCTTAACAGTTGCATATTTACGGGCAAAGCAACACAATAGAGAGGGTTTTGAGAGCGGAGCATGGAGAGACGAGAGTTGGTCGCGTACATGGTGGTAAGTTTGCAGATTTTAACAGATATTCGTGCTATTTGTTAATATTTCTACAAACACAACCTGTAATTCCAACATGTTTAATGTCATGTTAAATCTCCTTTGCTCAGCGACTGACATTAATGTAACACACCCTCGAAAATACTAAATTATAGTCGGACATTACGGGACATAGTCATACATAACATGAGCTACAAAGACTTTTGCTTAAGGTTGAACCAGCTGCACAGTCTATGTTGTTTTAAACATAGACTGTGGGTTTTAAACAGTTATTGTGGATAAGTCGAGCATCTCTGTGTGTGTGCACGAGCCAGGGGGCGGGGCCACTATAAATTACAATGACTTCTACTTTCACTGTTCAAGTGTTTGGGAACATTGCAACCTTTTGTGTTCCTTTCTTGAAAATGAACCATGTTAAACAAGGAGTAGCAAAGGTCTATCGCCAGTGTATCATTTCATTGTGTTTGCTACACTGGGTGATGTTTTTCTACTGGTTCTTAGACGAGGTGGAAGGCCAGTAATGGCAATTAGAAGTAATGTAATGGCATTACTTGGAGGGAAAACATGTTTGTGAGTGTAGTGACCTCCTTTACTTTCTTTGATATTGTGCAACATTTTTGTACTTTTACATTTAACAAAAGTATTGTACTGGAGTACCTTTTCATTTTTATATTTAGGTTACTTTATTCTCCCATTGTGTTACTTATCCACTCAGAAATAGTGGCATTAGGCCACTTTATTTACTGAAGACATAATAAATGATGAAGAACATAATAGGACATCTATATCTTACACCACCTTCAAGTTCTTACTCCTACATTTCTTTGGCATTCCTTTTTTTTCTCCCTTTTTTACCAAACAATAATTTTAAATAACGTATGATCTTGTTGTAAACTATGACGCATTGTTGTTTGTATATAAAGTAGGTAAAATTAGCTCCATTATGACCCGCTGCAACATTTAAATGGTGCTTATTCTTGAACGTCTTAATCATTTAATAATGTTGCATATTAAAAGACAGAATTCGATACTTTAGTGCAGGGGTTCTCAACTGGTCAGGCCTCGGGACCCACTTTTTCCTTTGTCAATAGATCGCAACCCGAAATTTTGAACCACTCAAATCTATTCAACAAACAATCGTGCTGTAATATATACGCTTTTCAGCATACAATATTAATGAAAGTGAAGTACAGTCCATAATCCCTTATATCCCTTCACAGAACAAAAGAATGCTTTAAAAAAAGGTTTAATGAGATGATGGAATCAAAGCTGAACTGTATAACATAAAAAGGCACACATGCTGAAAACCCAACCCCAGCAGGGGGTCTGGGGGGGATTTCTCCCCCAGGAGATTTTTAGAAATACTAACATATAAACTACGCATTCTGGTACACTCTGAGAAGAAAATAAATAAATCTATTGCTACCCGACATATTAATAATATTTGATGCCATTGTTTGTTTTTCACTTAGTTCTGACAGCTTGCTGCTCCTCACAGAGAGAAGAGTACAGAGGAGATAGTCTGTGTGACTTACTTTAAATTGTTGGTAAGGGTAGATAGCTCCCATTGTTCTGTGACCTGTCAATCATCAAACCGGGGGTTAGGGCTGCACGATATTGGAAAAAACGGACATTGCGATTTCCCCCCCCCCCTGCGATATATATTGCGATATGAAAACATACAGGAATTGAAGAAAAGACCGTTTTCTTTTTCGCAAACCATCCTTTCTTGAACTTTAATGCTATACAATTGGTATTTTTTTAACTATATTTAACCGGATGAAGGATTTTAGTCGTGGACGTCTGGATCTTAAGTTATCAGAGCAACAAGCTGAGCTAGCTCGGTTAGCAGCGCCGAACTGCCCTGGAGAAACACATGAAACTACTTTATTCAGTGTTTTTACCTTTAATCACCGGGTCCGTTTGCTTTGGAGATTTGATTGTGATTGGTGGTTTGCGGTGCATGCAGAGCCTGCATGTCACTCACTCAAGTACCCCTAACATGAGAGCCGCGCAAGTTTTCCTTTTTGTAGCAAGCAGCAAAATAATTGTAACATGACGTGTTTGAGTTAATTTGCCTACTGAATATCGCAAGTCCTAAAAAAATATTTTTTAAAAAGAAATACAAAAAAAAAAGAATTACATTTTTCTTTTTTTAATCGCACGTCCACGCGATGTGAATATCGCGCATGCGCATATCGCGATTATCGTCACAACACGATATATCGTGCAGCCCTACCGGGGGTCATATTTCATTATGTGTTCATTTTTATCTGAAGTTGTACCCAATAGCCGCGTTCACACCAAGTACTTTCCTGTACTTAGTTCCGGCACTAATGGCGCATTTCCACTACACGGCCTCGCTCGGCCCCGCTCGGTATGGCTGGGCCTCGTTAGGACTGGCTCACTTTATGGCGCATTTCCATTACAGTTTAGGAACTGGGGCAGTATCTATAGTAACGCAGTGTAGGCGGAGCCGTGACGTGATCTTCAGAGGACCCCAGAAAAACAACACAGCCGTTAGCTGTTAGCACTCAGAGCTCACAGCTCCTCATATATGTTCAGAAACTAGACAAAAGTTAAACAAGTACAAACCACAGACTGTCTGTGTCATGGTGAATACAGTCGCTGCTTTATTTATGTCTGTATAGGCCGTTGTTGTGAGTGTGGACGGTCGGAGCATATACTGCGTTAGCTTAGCCAATCTCCATTTAGAAAACAAGCATTTTAAAAGGTTTTTCCCCTGCCGTCTGTCTGCAGACTTGACAAAGCATTAATTCATGGTTTTTACTAACCGGTATCAGTATGTTGTTACTTCGGCATCATTTTGAAACGTGTATTACAATTAAATCACGGTCAAATATGTCCATCTTGTTGTAGTTGTTGCCCCCTTGCCAGCGACGCTCTCTCTAGTTTAGCATACTCAGCCCGACTCAGCCTCGTTGTCTCTGGCCCTGGACCCACGATTTTATGAGGCCAGAAAAACTGTGAATTAGGACCCGCCGGCCGGTACTAGGCCAAGTGGAAACGCAACCAAAGACGGGCCGCTGACGTCACAGCCCTCTTAAACCGGGCTGCGGGCTGTAGTGGAAACGCGCCATAAGAGCCCCGGCGCTTTTAACCCCAGGGCACTTAGTACAGATCGCGTTCACACCGGAGTACTTTTCCCTGAGGGAAGATTACGCAAATGAGCCGCTGACGTCATTTCTTCTTCTTCTGCTTTGGCTTTACTGGCAGGCCACAAACCACTTCACGGCGAGTACAGTAGGTGGCGGTATGCACCTTAAAGTTGTTTGCAATCCGCTGCAAAACAAGAGAAGAAGAAGAAAAACTTCCCGCGTATACTGCGACGCCCACCCACTCGCTGTACATTAGGCGTCTGTTGTTTACCTTCCGACCTCAGACATGATGGAGATGGAGTCGACTGAAGTTGTGCTGTTTGTGCTCATGTTATACAGCTTTGTAACTGAGTTAATGCAGCCTGAGCAACTTGCGTACAATAACAAAACAAGCCGCGCACGAGTGCTGGTGGAGAACGCTTTTGGCAGACTGAAGGGCAGGTGGCGGTGCTTGATGAAAAGAAACGACTGCAAGATGGACAAGATCACATTCCAGGTGGCAGCATGTTGCATATTACATAACCTTTGTGAAAGTAATGAGTACAGGGACGAATGGACTGCCTTACCGGCGACCCAGCTTTATGAGGCATCTGAACAGCGTGTAAATTGTAAACATTTTGACAATAAAGCTGATCTTTTGTACAGTGCTTTTGTTTCTCTTTTATTTTCCAGTCAAGACAGGCAACATTACAATAGTGTACAGTGTGGCAATATAATAACAATAAACTGTGCCAGGTGTGTTGTATGCACAGTAAATAGGCTCAGCAGCAAACCCACCGTTATTATTTATTATATATCTTTCTGAGACCCACTGCATCCGTCTGCCATAAACACTATGGAAACATACATGTTAGTTTCGGCCCATAGTGGACTCCATTTTGTGTTGTGTAAAATGGGGGGGGGGAATTAAAGGTTTGCAAATCCCCATGTCCTCCTCAGAGGACAATCATAAAAACATTTAGTTTTAGGTCAAATAATATTTAAAATGATATAAATGATCATATTTGTGTATGTGCCCCTGCCATTCCTCCACAAGGTTGCAACATTGATGATAAATAAATGACAAATAAAGCTTTGCCAGTTTATAACCGATGAAACATGATGGTATCAGAATAATCACTTACATGTGATGTATAGGATGCTACACAGGTCACTAAAGATACAGTGTCAGGAGAAATAAGCAAGCTACAGGATCTGTTTAACAGTAAATAGAAGTTCACATTTTTAATGTAAATAAAATAGAAGTTGTACATGTAAATTAACATTATCAATATAAAATAAAGTGTCAGTTGTATCAAGACTATATAATAACAGTAATAACAATAATATAAAATGAACTGGTGAGCATCTTGTCCTCCGTTTCCTGGGCCTTGGTGAACAGCACCATCTGATCCCCGTGCATCGACTCTTTCACCACGGCACGCCGGTCCTCCAACGCCTGGACGGTGTCAAAGAGATTCGCATCCCGTGTCCGCTTTCCTAAGAGGGGAAAATAAGCAAGATACAAGATCTGTTTAGTCACCATGTAGTTTTACAACATACTAGGAATGTGTTTTTTGTATTTTCACAAATAGAATTAAGGTTTCACAAATCTGAAACTGTGTTATAAAGAATCTTTTGACTCTCTGGGATAATCCAGTCCAGATTTGATGAGTCTAGGTATAGTGGTTTTAGATCAGGACCTGGTCTAATGTGGTCTACATGTAAAAAAAAAAGCACTGAAATCTCCCTTTTTTGTATTTTCACAAATAGAATTAAGGTTTCACAAATCTGAAACTGTGTTATAAAGAATGTTTAGCCTCTCTGGGATAATCCAGTCCAAATAAATCGGCTATGCAGCGATTTAAGAGGTTCAAACACGGAGGATTGTGCTTCATGTATGCTTGACCTTTGTTTAATGTTGTTGAGGCAAGTTTTCGTACCGGAAGTCATGTGACCTCTAGCCCGGATGTTTACAATGTTTGTGAGAGAGTAAAAAGGCGCGGACATTTGTAAATGCCGGTCTTGGCGAATACGTTTTCATGCTGTTTCATAATTGTACCAAGAAGGAAATAAACATGATTGTGAACATCAGTTCGATGCGTAACGTTCTTTCAAGACAAAGTTACAGTGTGGGTGTTTCTCAATCGCGAGTAAAGCTGCTGCAGAGCCACTATTTCAAGCATACTACGTCATCGAGTGCCGCCGAAGTACTGTTCCAATCTCCAGCATACTTGGAAATCTACCGAGCCCGGCGTACTCCGTTTGGAGAAATATCGAGGCTGCACATGAGTAGACTCCGCGGTCTTAAAATCCCCACAATGCTTTGCGCACGGACCAATTTCCCCAAATCTGTGGCGGAAGATGTAAGCGGGGCCTCTCATATGACGCACAACTGCACACTTGCTAGCCTGTTCCACTCTTCGTTTTCCGAATGCCAGGAAGTATTCTTGACTCGCTTCTGAAGCAAGATGCTCGGCAGACATGTGCTACCAAGCAAGCGTACTCGCGATTGAGAAACACCCTCTGTGTACCTTTGCGTTTGGTTGCTGGTAAGGGGGACGAGCAAGTGCTGTGATCTAGAATGCAAAGCTCGCTTGTTTCCAATCCCGAGAGTTGTCCATCCTCGCCTGAAACAGACGATTGGTGCCATGAGTTAGTGAAGCAAATTACAGAAACACTACACAGTTATTCACAAGTCAAAACGTTTTCATAGCGGCCGACAATATCTAGCTAGCTAGATGTAGCTAGCTCGGGGCCGGTGTTAGCCTATTCAGCCTAGCATGGCTAGCTTGATCTACTGAGCAAATAAAAGTACATCTGAGACCATTATTGTGCAGATTAAAACCCCAGTGCATGTAGTTGATTTTACCTTCGTCGTGGTCGTCATCGTTGGCCACTGAATCCGCCGTTTGTAGTCCTGCCTGAGTTTCTTTATTTTTAGCCGGTGTGCCGTGGGGCTGTGCACGATTCCCAGGTCGAGTGAAAGCTACTGAACTGGCTTCAGTAGCATTCCCTGGGTCGCGTCCTCGGCGTAGATCTCCAGAAGCGCCGACACCTCCTCATCATTTCTTGATGCTTGCCATAACTGCTTTAAAAAACAACTCCGTCGGTGCGCTGGGTTTTTGTAGCGAGGAAAAACAATGGCGGCTCTACAAAACATTTTCACAGTTGTACGGGGCGTGGTTTGCAATTCGCCCAGCCAATCAGCACTGGGGCACTTTTCACCCACAGGAAAGTACGATCTCTCAGCGGGCTCTAAAAATGGGGGTAAAAGTTCCCGAGATTAAGTACGATTTTTGGTGTGAACGCGACATAAGGGGTACTAACGGAACTAAACGCGAAAAGTACGGTGAAAAGTACTCCGGTGTGAACGCGGCTATGGATGTATAAAGAATAGTTCTACTGCAAAGTTATTCTCCGTGGGGACTTCCGGCAACAATCTTGATTCTGATTGGCCAGAAGACTCGAAAAAACATCAGCAAAGATGTTTTATTGAGAAGATGATCACTACGTGACAGAAGTTTTCAAAACCGTTTATGGTCTCCGGTACTTCCAGTCCAACGCCTACTGCATGCACAGCGTTAGAAAATCGGGCCTTCAAAATAAAAGTTTGACTTTTTTTTTTCTTCACTCACACATCTGCGACCCACTCGAAACGGGTCCCACCAGTTGAGAACCACTGCTTTAGTGCATTCAACTTATTTGTCTTGTCATTATTGTGCTACTGTGACTGTACCAAACTCAGAAAGACCAACCAAGTAAGACGATTTAGCCGCTAAAAGGGCAGATATTTCCATCAGGAGTGGGAGAGTTTTTACTATTTTACACAAGTCAGGTGGCCAAGAACATGACTCATGTTGCCCTGTGTCTGCAACAGCTAACATGTTTGATTCAAGGCTTTTATTGTCATTTGTGCATAGTGTAGTTATGACAATGACAAGCTTAGGTCACATGCTCCTCCAACAGTGCAACACAATAACACATATAAAATAGTGCAAGTAAATACAATTAAATATATAATATAATAGTGCAGAGTTGTCTATATACAAGTAATTGGCATATTAATATATATGAGTTGCAAACAGATGAATGTTATGGATGTTCTTTCAAAAGTGCAGGTGTTTAACAGTCTTATGGCCTGTGGGATGAAACTGCCCCTTAGTCTGGTAGTTATCAACTCAATAAGATGATTATGTCAGCATTGCATTTACAGCTTGCCCCCAAGTAGCCAAAAAAACAAGTAATTCTACTTTAAGTAAAATATCTGTATCTCCCACCACTGGTGTGATTGAGTGTGTAAAGCGGCATTATAACTCACAAAGTGATTGTTTCTCCAGGCGGGGGGCTGCGCGGGGATGTGTGTGGATCTGACCCTCTTCCCCTTGGACACCATTAAGACACGACTGCAGAGTCCGCAGGGCTTCCAAAAGGCAGGAGGCTTCAGGGGCGTCTACGCTGGAGTCCCATCTGCTGCTGTCGGGTCCTTCCCTAATGGTACCACGCTCTGTGATAGCTAGATCTATGATGTGAAGCTCCATTGTTCATTGTTGTTGGTAATTGATATTCATACCACCCAATTAAAGTTATTTTTCGTTGTGTGTGGGCGGGGGTCATTCCCAGAGATAACCTTGCACTGTGCTGATCATAATCTCCATTGTTTGTGTTGAGAGCTTAGAGCTAAACCCAGTTTAGGATGACATTTAGGATTTTTTTGCGACATGGAATTACAGAAGCATTTTTCCTTACTGTATTTCGGAGAAAAAAACACACAAGGATAGGAAAGCTATTACAGAACTGTTCTAACTATGGGATTTACACACGTGAGTACTAAATTAGGATGTCATATAAGTCCTAAGTCCAAATAACTTCCAAAAATGGCAGCAGCCCTGTTGTTAGGTCCATATGACAATGAAGATTTGGAATTACATTTACACTGACATAATCATTGAAAGCTTGCTTGTACTGTAAGATGAAACTTAAATATAAACTGCCCAGTTAAATCATTTAAAACTTGAACGCTCTATTTGTTGTCACCTAGTTAATACATGCACTACAACCAAAGATACATGAAGTCTATATTCTGAACATAAATACAGGCATGAGTGCTGATTGAAGAATTAACCAAGAAACCAAGATTGCTCGTTTAAAATATTTGTATTGAGAAGAAGCATACAAGTGTAAGCAATAGTACAGACTTCTTTGGGGTGGAAATCATGCTTCTCTTTTTCAACATAGAAGACAAACAGAACAGCCAACAAGAAATAATAAAGAAAAAACATAGCATGACAGGAATACCATACTTAATGACACACATAATCATAGTGGGAAAGAACATACAAAATAGTATACATACAAAGAAACTTAAAGGGCGCAAATGAGACCAGACTACACCCAAATGAGACCAGACCCACCCTTCCCTCCCCGAACAGTGCCACCCAAGCCATTAAAAAAACGATTGTTTGTGCAATGCATTTCAGCCGACCGTCCCCCTTATGAATGAAACCATTGGACCCCACATCCTTTCCAATTCCCCCAGTCTATCTTTTAGGATATATCAAATTCTTTCCAAATGTAGAGTATCAGTCAATGTTGTTATCCAAGCTTTGCTCATCAAGATTTCTGAAGTCAAACATATTGATAATCCCGTTGGTGGGAAGCAGATCATCTGCATTTTAGAAGCTTCAACACATCCACCACTCTAATTTAAGTTTCTTCACAGCATAAACAAACTTTTACATGTTTGTGATTGAAAATGCACCAAGTTCATTTCTTATTTTAAAGAAAATATTCGATTGAAAGAAGTCATAATCAATGATACTATTCAATCAAACAGCTGCAAAAATCAGCATGACTGCCCTTTTTGAAGTGCATACCAGTTAAAGTCATATCGTGTTGGTTTGAATATAATAAAACCTATTTGCTGCAGTTTATAAATTAACACTCTTGCCGTGTGAATTTACGTGACTAATGGGAGTATAAAAGAACCGAACTCCATCCGCATGACACACACTTAACTTTCTTAGCTTTTACCCTAATTGTACAAGCAGACACACACACATACACACACTCACACCGCAGTTTCTCCCCTGTCAGTGGTAGTGAGGGATATTAATTGCTGTATGCTGGTTGACTAATGGGCCTTAAATGGCTGTGGTTCTGCTTGGTTTCAGCCGCTGCTTTCTTTGTCACCTACGAATGCACAAAGTCCCTGCTCGGCGCTGGGGGGGGGGCTAGCAGCTCCACAAGCGGCACCTGTCACTCACATGATAGCCGCCTCCCTCGGAGAAGTGGTAAGTGTCCTTCATTCTTCCAACTTTTGCCTCCTTTACTTTTGGATTTTGTTGAAATCATGTTTGTTTGACCCCCTTTTAGTCGTTCCAGAAGGCCAGCTGCCTTTTGTATTTTTGTTGCTCTTCCACGCACTCTTTTCCCCTCTTTGCTTCTTTCCCACAACCACAAGTCCCCTATGAACACCATTGGCATGTCTGTTGACGTAATTGCCTTTAAGATTTCACAGACCACTAGACAGGGGGGGCAGCAGGGAGCAGGGTGAGTATGCAGTTTTGGCTTTCGGCCACGTAGTCCAGCTGGGCGAGTTAAGGGGGCTTCCTCAAGACTGTCCCATCATTTCCCCCACTTGCTGGGTAAATAAGAACTCATTACTGCCTATTTACTCATATACTTTCCCAGCTCAGACCCCCAGACTCCTCCAATTTAATCTGGGGAATTCAGTCTTGAAACCAAACGAGGAGCGGCGCAATTTCCTCAGTCCATCCTGTCCCAATCACTCGCAGTGAACCTCAGGATCTGAGCCATATGGGGGCCACGCGTATTCACATTGGCATGAAGGGGGGTAGAGGGATGGGGAAGGAATGGAAAGAGGAATGCCCCCCTGCTATACCACCATGGCTTTCCTCAAAATACTGGGTTTTTAGTATTCATGGCTTTTGGATGGATGTAATTTAGCCAAGTTTTTGCATGTTTATGAAATGGATTATTCCATATGGGATTGTGTTGACTCAGCTTGAGTTTAGCGGTGTCTTGGTGTCTCACAGAGGACACGCTACTCTAAAGACTGGTGCAGGGGTGACGTATTTCTGAAGGCTGAATGGAAGTAAGCATTGCAAGTGCTCTCTCAAAAAGGCAATGGGATATTTTCATTACATCAAAGAAAAAGCTTTGTGGCAAACAAACTTTTTGATACCTCTATGTTCAGCAAGATAGTCTCTATTAACACCACTTTTATCATAATTGAGGCGTAAATGCAATTGGCACAGGTAAATAGCTTATGTTAGGCAAACTAAATCTTGGTTGCACCAACGCAATGCTAAATGGGGATTTGTGTTTGCCGTTTGCCGTTTAGCCACTTGTTAGCAATCTCTGTTTTTAAAATGCGTAAAAGTTTCAGATCTTTGTTGACGTATTTGAATGTCTTTGAACGAAATATAAAAATCTAGTAAGCTTGTATTAACCACCGCCCTTTTTCGATGACAACTAACCAACAAACTACGTACTATGAGACGAGCAAACCCAGAAGTGCTAAAATGCTGACTCATTACTGGTTTTAGGACTCATTCCTGCACCACTCTTTTGCAGATAAGGCAGGAGTGTATCTTTTAACATTTTGGGCCCTGTGGAACTTGAGTGTGAAAGGTGAGGCTGAGGTTGCGGCTACCTTTAACCCCTTCCCCGCTGTTCTGGATTTGAGCACATCAAAGGCACAAATCCTCGGAGTGGGGCTCAGCAGAGCAGGGGCGGTATCCCACTGCATTCTGAAGAAAACTGGATACGTCTTGCTCAAAGAGAGTAATCTTCAGGCTTAGCCATGAAAGGCCTACCCCGGTGTTGCCCTCGACTCGTATGAAAGGCCTAAACGCCCGCACTATGATGCAATTACTGCCATATGACTGAGATTTTTTGATTAAAAGTTATTTCACCAAGGGTCTTACATAAGTTTGCTGAGTCTTGGGCAAGTGGGTGTGATGCAATTGTTTCGTCTCGTGATGAAACAACTGTAGTCATTTACTTATTTATCGAAATTCATTGAATTAGCAGTGTTCTTCACTTGTCTTTGTTAGTTGTAATTGTAAATTGAATAACTTTTGGCTTTGGATAATACAGAGAATTTATAAAAGTCAGTTTGGCCTCTGAAAAATTGTAGCTGCCATTTTTTAAGCTATATTGAAAATGAACAGAAAAAATTGCTCATCCCTAATCCTTTGTTTTTCTCCATCGAACATTGTTTTGCATAATATATTGCATTATTTTTGCTTTATCATTATGAGTTCTGTTGAGGTTGCATCATCTCTGCAAGACCATTCAAGCCATACCTTATGATTAATAGATTCTCACAACATGCACATGAATAAAGTGCTGGAAAAAGCCTTTTCAAATTATTCCTTTTTATGCTCTGCATCATGTGCTGCCTATTTATCCTCTACTTTGTGGTTTTATTTTGTTTAATTTCAGTGTGAAATGTAATTAAATGGCAGCTCCATTTGGAAGTTCTCTTATGTGGGTTTATTTAAAGCCCACAGGCACAAAGACAATGGTTAAACCCAAACTGCATTGTCAACATGAATGCAAACTCAAACAGATTTTCATCAACATTTATTTTTATCTTCCACTCTGCATTAAATGTTCCGTCATGCCAGTAAAAGACAAGGGTCACCATTGTGTTTCCCTGGTGCCCCTCCACCTGCTGGTCTTTCTGTTGCGTGGGTGGGGGCAGGCTTTGACACACAGAAACTTAAAGAAGCAGGAGAAGCTACTTGATTTTTGGTTTATGTCCTCACTTCCCCATTCCGCCCCTTCATCAGCCCCTCATCCTTTTCCCCAGGAGTCCATTTAGTTATGTTTTACCAACTGTTTCCACTCAGCAGCATTCACAACAGGGGTTTTATGGGACTTTTTGCTTTAATAATCCAAACCCCCCCAAGCCCTCCTCTATCTATGATGCACTCCACTTGGCACACACTTACTAGATGTGTACTTCAGTGTGTTATGATCATACCAGAGGGAGATATAACTTGTTGGAAGTATGAGATAACTCTTGGACATACTTGCATCCAAGCACTCTTTTCTTTATTGTCGAGCCTTTAGGTTAACAGATATTCATCCAGCATAAACAGTAAGAAAAAGCCTCATCAGAGTAATATGTGAAATAGAAGATTGATAACTTCCATGAACCATTTTTTTACAATAGGGTTAAAGTTCACTAACTACAAAAGTTCATCAACTAAATTCGGTTTTGTGTAGTTTAGATGGCTTTATGATTCGTAACAAATAACGAAATGCGATTGTTTTGACTGACATTTCAATAGTAATATGATTCACCAAACTAGGGAGAATGACGATTTTTGAAACTTTATTTAGATAACCATTTACGAATAGGGTTATTTGATAAAGTTTGTAGAATACCGTTGGTTATTAGGGACTTATCTCAGCTCCACAATACTTCAATCAGAAGGATATTTTCACATATTTTGCTTTTACCAAATATTTAGCTTACAACGATTTGGATATTGCAAATGTAATCCATATTGCGATCTTTTGGGTTAATTGTGCAACTCTACTTAAGGGTACAGATATAAAGCAGAAATGTACTCCAGCTGTTTGATGATGGTCTTCACATGTCATAACTAATTCCCTTTCAATGTGAACCTACTTACCGCCCTGTTTAACTTGCAGACAGAAGCAGGACAGACCGAAACAGTGAGGACAGAGAGGAGGAAAGTCATAAAAGAACGAGAGAGGGTCAAGACAATGAGAGAAATCTCCCCTCGCTCAAGCGTCCTGGTGTTTGTGTGAGTGCGGCGTTGGGACGCTCCTATAAAGAATGTGTAAGCTGATGGCGTCTGTCAGGCTCTAGCAAGCTGTTATCCAGCCATTAGATCAGATTTATCTTCATTCCCATTCGCTCGACGTCTGCCCTGAAAGCTCATTTGTCAAGGCCAGGCGGCGGGTTTCTCTCGCATCTATAAATCCCCCCACCACCACCACAACCTCCACCAACACCTCACCACCACATGTCTGTGCGAGGATGTACTGGAAGATACAGTGTGACATGACAAGATAGGGGGGACAGTGAGAAGGTGGGAGGAGTTTTGGGGGTAGAAAACTGGCAGCCACTTAACTTGGCACTGAGAAATAATCCATGCATCGCCTTCGAGCAGCGCCACGCTCTGTGATTTATTGGCTGTTGTTTCAAAGTTGGAGACACTCGGCGTCCTCATCTCTTCCCCTTTTCTTCATGACCCTTTTTTTTTTTTCCATCTCTTCTTTCCTTTCTTTGTCAACCCGTATTTCAATCTACCTTGGTATTATCATGCATATCTAGTTGTGGGCGTGTGCGCAAACATCCTGAAAAAGTCATGGGAATATGGTCCATGTGATGGGACATACTGTAGTGTGTTTCAGGGGCAAAGATGGAGATATTGAGTTTAACATGGGCTTTATTGCAATTTTGTATTACAATGAGTGGACACACTTTTTCTACCATTCAACTTTAGTCCAACGTATTGTCTCATGATCAATAGAAAAGTGAGAGTCTTTCAGCTGGATTTATTGTGTTTATTCAAAGTAAGCTAAGGCCAGGACCATTTTTCTCTTCACATGTGGGACTGCAGTATTTCCTGTTTGGCAAATGGTCTGTTTTGTGAATGCAGTATATTTGAATGACAAATAAATCCAAATAATTGAGGCCCATAACAGTTCTGGCTGCCGATATGTTTTTCCAACCTGTTGTAGTCTCTTTATGGCGCCAAATGATAATTCTGTTCTTGATTGACTGACCACTGTGTCCTCCATGAGCGGTAAAAGAGGGATTGAGCGAGGGGGGGTGGGGGTCTGAGAGATGTAATGACTCAATCTGCGCATTGATTCGCCGTCTATGCCCATAATGTGCTGTGAGTCTCTGCTAATTTCCCATTCCTCACCGTGGTTCGCCCGTGATTGAGCGCCGTCTTCTCACCTTGTTGTTTGCCAGCCAGGGCTGGAAATTGAAAACGCGCTCTGTCATTTGGATTAACAACAACAACAACAACAACAACAGAGCATGAGCAACTGAGAGGCTCCGATCACAGGCAGGCAGCCTCCTAATTAACGCTGCCTGACAAACCTAACAGCTTGTAAATAAAGATGAATGGTTGCAGGAATTTAAAAGACTGCCAACGGATTTATAATAACTCTACACGCCAGAGGAAAGCATCGAGAATGAAGGGCAGGCAAAGTAGGTGAAGAAACGGGCGTCTGTCTTCCTGACAGCTTTCTCCACGTACAGCCCTCTCCTAAACATGAGGGACACATACCTAAATCTTTCATTTCTTACTTTGGTGGGCTTTTAAAAATATGATGACATACACCGATAAGACTCTTATCCTTTTCAAGCCCCAGCCTTATCTTATCATGCCTGGATGTATCAGCATTGTTCCCCTATTTGCTGCTGCTTTCTTCTGAAAGGGTCTCGAAGGCTTCGAGGTTTATCTTCTATCCACTCAACATCATTCTCTCCACCCCTAGACGCACAAATCACTCCCAAATAAACAATGTCCCTAATTTATTTAGTATAATCTCTGGCTCATTTTGCCTTCCCTTCTGCAGTGACAGCGGAGGAAAGGCGGTCTCAACTCCAGGCCCCCGATCCAATTACATCAGTAATTACTTGTCATAGGCACTTTCTTTCTATTTAGCTGCCTTATTCCGGTCCTTTGGAGAATTTGTTAGGGGGAAAAATGATGTACAATGTATTATAAATGGTAACTTGACCAAAGGGAGGGCAAATGAGATCTTTGAGATAGATGCAGCCGGCTTTAGTTATCTCTACAAGGCAATGCAGATAAACGTCAGGCCACTTGGTGGTACTGTTGCACCATGGGTATGCTGCAGCTAGACTATGGTCATACTCACCTGAAATACCAAACAGGATCGCTCTTTTGTTTTTGCTCTCATGTACACAGAATGAGGGTTTATGTGCTCATTTTGTATTGAAAAGTGAAAGAACAGACACTGAAAGTGTTGCAGCGAAGGTCAAACGAAAGTAATGCAGCATAGTAATCGATAGTCAATAATATTTTAAGAGACGCATGATCTTTTTCCATGTCATGTCTGCAAGGTCTCTTTCAGCCTAGTCTGTGATTTCACTTGACTTCCAGGACTGCTGACTTCTCCTTTTGTGCTCCACAAATATTCACGTTCCTGCTCATAAGGTGTCCTTGGTGTCTTGGGGAGGGTAGAGTGGTTGACAGACGGGGAGCCCTCTAACAGCTGTCGGAGTAGCCTTCTCCCCCCCTCGCACAGTATGGCAAAAGAGTCTTATCCTCCAGGGTCCATCACCTCCAGAACTACCTGAGGCGCCCAAACGCTAAATCAGTATGGATAGCTGAATGGAGATGGAGCAGAACAGGATTGGGTAGCATTTGTATCTTTATTGCAATGCCTACATCACTCGTTTTGCTGCTGTGGCGAGGGTGGCACTAGCAGACTGGCATCTTTATAACGTGGGGGAGTCGCAGCGAGGGGGCTGTCTCACCAATCGCTCTGTGAGATTGCTCTCCGTTAGCCGGTGTTTCCGCTCCGGTGCAGGATAAATGGAAAATCAAGTCGCCAGGTGGGCAGCTGTGCCCGCCCGCCCGCCTGCCTGCCTGCCTTTAGGGCGATGGGAGTTTGAAGCATAAATATTCATGTCTATCTTCACTAGCTGTTGGCAGTCCATATTTTTGTTGACACATGGCGGATGGGTTGGAATTTGTAGCGGGGAGTGTGGTTACTGAGGTGAGCCTAAAACGATGAGTTTTGATGGCAGCGCATGCATGTTTTTCAAACACAGATACACAGGTGAACTTTTAACCTGTTGCTCAGGTGTCATGTCTTCTGTGTGTACTAGTTTGTTAATTGGCTCGACTCTAACTACAGCACTCGTTAGCCCGCCGGCTTGATGTAATTGCTCTCCTCAGGCTGTGCCACATCACGGCCACCTGCCATGTAGAAAGAAACACAGGCTAGCACTCTGTACCTGGGCCGCACCTGGGACATAGTGTGTGTGACTCCTGACACACCCACTTGCAATAAGAACAATATGGATATCGAAAACCCCTTTTTAAGGAAATACCCAGTGTAAATTAAGATTGTATTTATTCAGGCAAAACCATTGGACATTATCTGCTACCACCCATGGATGTATGAAGGAAAGATTATGTTGTCTTCACTTGCTTTACTGTAAAAGATGAGCATGAGCTAACTGGATACAGCGTAAGAGGCAGCGCCGCGTTCATTATAATAAAAGCTGCTCAGTGGCACATGAAGTCAAAATGGCTCAACTTTTGAGTGTAAACATTTTTTCAGGTGATCTTCCCCATCCATGGTGCCCATAAAGCTTGTGTTTTCCTTAAAGCCTGCTTCCATTCGCTGCGTCCTGGCTGTTCAATGATCATTAATATGGACAGAAAATAACTTGCAACCTAATAATTTAGGTGCTGAGAGTTATTAGCGTATAAATAGTCTTGCATGTGGTGTGTCGCTCCAAATCATATTCAATCACCTGCATTCGCGATTGGAAAAAAACTAAAGCAAATTTGACAAAAAACTCTAAGAGAATACCTTTCCCCCGACTTCACACATAAATAAATACTTTCATCACACTTTTTGTAGCTGCAACTCCTTTTCTTTGTCATAGCTTCCATCATATTACGTTGAAAACAGGTTAGTGAACCCTTGACCCCACCCTTTCTTGTGTTGATTGATCTGACACAGGCAATGGTGATAGCCCTATCCTGCTTTCTGAATTAGCCATTGGATAAAAGGCAAGTTTTAGAATGGCGACTGTCAATCAAATGTGGGATATCGGCTCAATTTGCAGGATTGAAAATGCTGAGCATGGCATCACGTGACCGACACAGAAGTTGTAATTCTTTGGTTTGGTCACCACCAAAATCTTCTTCAATGCCTGGCGCTCTTCCTTGATCGTGGTTAATAATCCGTGTTCTTTCCATCCTGTAGGTGGCGTGTCTGATCCGGGTGCCCACAGAGGTGGTCAAACAGAGGACCCAGGCCTCTCCATCTTCCTCCACCTACAACATGCTGCTGGCTACACTCAGAGAAGAGGTATGCAGCAGTCAAAGGCACTTTCAAATCATAACTCTAAGTTTATTATTGCTCTGATCTTTGTGGATTTAGTCATCATTCCTATCATTAATACCATCCGGAAACTTCTCTGGTTGACGCAAAGCAATAACTAAATCCCAACCCAACTCTCAGCAGTAACTTTAATGAGTCAAATATGTTCTGCCGCTTATGATGACATTTTAAAATGTCACCAAAGATGGTAGAAATTAAAGGCCTTATTGAGAGAAATAAGTTATAAAAAGTTGTAACTATTATACCATTTTTCTTCCAATTTGTTTTACAGAATCTTAAACTAAAACATTTGATTGGGTGTATATTGAACTCTGCTGCTTGTACAACAATCACTTTTGTTATACTGTCTTGTGCTGTTGAGTTCAAATTTGAGATTTCATTAACCATTTTTCTGTATTTCTGTTATTGTAATTTTTTTGTGTCCTGTTATTTTTGCACAGGGTTTCCGAGGCTTGTACAGAGGATACAGCAGCACGGTCCTCAGAGAGGTAGGTTTCTCAGTTTGCTTTTCTCTCTCACATATTCATCATTCATAGTAATCACAACCAAAGTGACCACCGATGAGATCACACACTCGCCTTTCTCTGTTAAAGATTCAGGCACGTGTGAAGCACTTCTTACAGATTCTATTGAAATCAATTTCAAGAGTTTGCACTAAAGACAATTACTCCTTCAAGGCTGTGTAGTGAATTCTTTCTGATAGGCTCAACGAATATTGAGGCTTTCCACTCTTCTGACTGAAGACGTTTTAATTTCCTCTGGGCTTTATTGAGGTTGGAAATATTGATTTACAGTTTTTTTTCATCTCATTCAATTACTTGAGCAAGATGCTCTCCCTCCTATTAGGGCTACATCTGATTAATTAATGCAATTAGTTGCGTTATAAATGCAAAACAAAACACGGATAAATGAGCATTGGGCTGCACTCCCTTGATGGCCTCTCACCTTTTTGTAATGAAAAAGCCGCTCTAGTTCTTTGATTCATGTTCTTCTGTTTAATTGAACCTGCATACAAAATAAATGTTGCAAAAAGCTGCACGGATCTCTCAACCCGCCTGATTAGTTTGAATAGACCCGGAGAAGAAAATGAGAAAGGGAGGCAGAGACGGAGAGAGAAGTGTATGAAGGTGACACTTGTCTTTCCATCCTATTTTTTGGGGAGGTGGGTGTAATCTAGTCCCCTCTGCTGTGCTAGCCTGTACTTATTTTCTGCCTCACTAAACTGATGTTATTCACGCAAATTCCATCTGGACAGACGAGGAAGGGGGAAAAAAAGGACAACAAGACACTGTGATTTCTCCGAGGGGCTCTGAATAAATGAATACATTTGGAGGCTGGCGCACGGCCTGTGTGCATACTAACACTAGCAGATGAAACACAACGGTGGCGGCGGGGATTTGGGGCGCGGGAACGGAGAGGGATGCTCCTCGGTGATTGGCTTTGACGTGTGTCAGGAAGGCAATTCATTTTCTCTCGGCCTCCTTTGCTATCCGCCTATCTCCCCCCTTTTTGTACAAGCGACCCTGTCAGGATAAGTTTGTTTTACGTGGTTTGGCGTGGCGCCTCCCCCCTCTCGCTGGTCCACTAATTGGGGTCCTCTCTGTGCTATATATTCATTAAGCTTCAGAAGGCATTTGTGATGGGCATGATATCACATTAGTGCAGGATGTGTGAGGCTGGCCTGGACATGGAAGGTGTGACCGATCCGTTTCACATTGTAACATTAGCCGACTTTCAGATAATCATCCCTACCAGAACAAGTTTTAAAGAGTTATGGGGGATTTCACACAGCGCTCGCCAACAATGCTTTTAATCAAACACCATATCTGGATTATTGACTGAAAGTAATTATTTTGTCTTTAGACCACATTGATCTCTACTGTGGTGTGCACTCTCCTTAAGAATAAACTGTCGAGTTGTCTGCTGTGTCTGCAACTGTTGGGTTCCAGCTGAGTAGAGCATGAAATCATGAGATTCAGATTGCGGTGGAAATATTGGTTGCTGAAAAAACACTTTATTCAAGTAAGACGGCTGACTTCATTCAGTGGAAAAACACAGTCTTATCATGAAGCTCCCAAGACTTTGTTTCGAAGTAAGAGTCTACTTCTGCTGTTCATGCTGCCTGGGTCTTCATTCATTTGTATTCATTTTATGGAAATACAATCATACTTCGACTTTTTCTACATGTTATCATCTTGTGATGCCAGGCCACTTCACAAAATCATGTATTCCAAGCTCTTTCAGGAAAATAAATACCTTTTACCACTAGATGGCATGCTAACATTATCACTGCTTTAGATTTGTGTCTCTTACTTTCTCTCATTTCACTCCAATCCCCTCTCTCCTGTACTCCCCCCTTCGCCTTCTTCCCTGCTTCTGCTCCCCCATCACACCAATCCAGCTTTATGACATTTATGAGCAGCAGTCACTGCACTGAAAATGATGACTTTTTTTTTTTAATGGCCAGCCCTGTATATTTCTGATCTAAAGCGCTGTGAGGGGATCTTGGATTGGATCTAAACTGCTCCAATTTGAGTTTGAGTAATGAGCCTGGGATGGGTTATTAGATAGTCATTTAGTAATGTGGTGCTATGGGGGCTGTGCAGGGATAGGTGTAAGTGAAGCTGACAGTGTCTGACACAGTCGACTTAAGAGCCCGGAACATCGTCTGATTGGATCCAGCTTACTGCCACACTACATATATCTCTCAGACTTGTGCTCTTTCACCCACTCAGTATGATAGCCACTTTATCTAAATCCATTTTCACATATTTAAGTGGGTAAGCACACAGACAAGGAAGGTAATTGGCCTGGCTAAATGAGACTTACCAATGAAAAACGTGTTCCCGGTTTCCATTTACCGGTGTTATGTACACTTTTCCTGTGAATCAGCCTTAAAGTCTCTCCACCCTAACAGCTAGGACCTGGCAACCCGAGGTTCAAGATTTGGCGATGGGGGCTTATGAAACACCTCTGCATCCAGGCTCCTCCCTACACATCTCTGCTTCCTCTTTCTTCTCCTCCTCTTCAATTCCCTGGTTGATTCATTCGCTGCTTCCTCCATCAGAGGCTTTGGTTGTAAGGCAAGACTTGCCAAAATTTGATTTGAGTTATTACATACAGGCCAAATTACATTGCTCCAACTTCTTGCTGTTATATTTAGTTTTAGAGCTGTGTTAAGCAATCAGTTGTCCTTGAGTTGCCTTCCATCTACGGATCAGTGACCAAATAACCCAAACAATGTTTTACCTAAGTGTTGGGCCACTACAAGCTTCAAGATCAGTTTCAGAGCTCCCTCCCCAATTCTTGGAATTTATTTTGCTGGCTTTCTGCCTTGTTATTGGATAAAATAGTTAAACAGGAATTCCCGGAAAAAATCAAAAGTGCACAACATGCAGCAAAGGGCAGAGAGTTCAATTGAAACTGCTGTCGTAAGGTCTAATCGGTAGATTGTTTTCTTGATTGATTATTTCATTGTTTGGTCTGTGTCCACTAAAACTCTTATAATCCCAAATGGACATACTGTACACAAACTGCTTATAGTGCGAAAACCCAAAGATATCGTGTTTTGAAATCATGGAAGATACAACAAACAGCAGAGTACTGATTAGCTGGAACCATTTCTGCCTAAACAAGTTACATAATGCTGATTGTTATCCTGTCATTGGACTACTGTTGCAACTATTTGCTTAGTTTCTTATCATTTGGACTTTAAAACATTAGAAACAAGATTAAAGGGCAAATAAAACCCAAGGAGATTTTTTGTCGGAGTGACAATGCAAAACCTACAGATATTCATTTTATGTATGAAGAAAAGCTCTGAATATTTGCTAATATTCACATTTCTAAAGCTGGAAGCAATAAAATACTTGGCATTTCTGCTTAAAAATGACTTTACCTATTATCAAAATATTTGCCTAATAATTTCTCTAGACACAGCACTCACCTGACCCCCGTTCCCTTATGTTCTCACTCTAATTCTTATAATCCTGTCTGGGCCCTTTTGCTACTCCAGGGTCCTAGTTGAACCTCCACCTCCTTCAGTGTGTTTGATTTCCCTTGTTACATCTCAGTTGTTGAAGTGTGTACATTGAGATATGATTGAGTTGTGAAGGGTCCATATACTGAGCAGTGAGGGGGTTTCTGCTTCCTCTGCTGGGATGCTGAGGTTGAAACTGTATTAACAGACACGCAGCAGAGCAGATCTGACCCCCGCGTGGCCCTTGTTTGGAAAAGAGCCACCTTTCACCGTCAGTGACGCATGTTCAAAAGGGAGAGGTGAGGGGAATCACTCTCATATCCTGTCTCTGTGCTCGCTGAACCACAGAGGCTGGTGTTTATACACCCTCATATGACTTAGGCAGAGGAGAGACAGAGCAGAAAGAGGGAAGACAGACAGACCAGGGGAGGCAAAATGTGTTTATTTTTGCGCTACATACTGTATGTAAAGGCAAGATTTGTGGGACAAGTGTGAAGGCGAGGAGGCTTCCTCCTGCACTGTGTTTAGAGTTGGACATCGTCAGAGCTGCTGCCGTTTGTCTCGGAGTCTGACGGCAAACCAACTCCTCTAAAAGGCTTCAACACCTCAAAGACTGGATTACATTTCATGGAAAATGTCATAAGATCACCCTGAAATAATAAAATGCTAAACCATGGAAGATATCAATATAGAAGTGGGATGTAATGCTTACCAGTGAGATAACTTAGATTTGTGTTTCAATGTGTTGCTCTTTGCAAACAAATTATTACGAATAATATTTTAACAGCCTTTGCAAGTCAGTTGAACAACCATTTAAATGAAGTATGGCTCTATTGGTTTCAAAGATGGATCTGAATGTTTGAAAGACTATGAGCTACTGGTGCTACCTTATCTGTTTACTCTGTGATCAATAAGAAGCTCAAGAGACCTGAGAAAACCTGTTGACCTCTGTAGATCTGACCCTTGACATGACTTGACCTATAGACGGGTGTTTGACCTCTTGTGTGATAAGGACAAACAATAGAAGAGTGTGTTCTATCTAGGTGTTTTGACAGTATTGTGGACACAGTTAGATATGCAATGCCAATTAGCACATCATTAAATGATTCTCAACTTTGAAACTTTTGTATAAATGTTTGTATAAAAGGATTTGACATGAATGTAAAGGTAGCAAGATGAAATGCTAAAGAGAGGCCTCAACCTGAAGTTTATATTCACATTTAGAATTTTCCCAGCATTCATTTCTTTGATGGATCATTATCTGTCTTCCTGCTGGAGGTATGGAATATCATTTTGGAACGCCTCTCTCTTGTTGAGTTGTTTGCAGGTCGATCTGACCCTTGTTAGAAGACTGATGGCCTTCTTAAGCTTCAGAGAACGACGCCTCTTCGTCACTGCGTGATCTCTATCACTTTACCACACCATGTCCCTCTGGGGATTAATGCTTTACTCCCTACACCAATCTTGATGACGGATGGATGGGCTTCTGTTCACAGTGCACATGTCATT